GCACTTCTCATAACTATGACCTGACTTGCAACAAAAGGAGCAGTAAGGGGATCTTTTCCATTGATTAACATGACCAATTGAGTACTGAGATTTAAAGCATTGATTAGGTCCAACAGTTCTATGAGGTGGGATTCTATTGATGACTCTGTGACAGTGTTTTATTTCTTTCTTTAATTTCAAGTTTTCTGAAGAGAGACTGCACACTTGATTGTTCTGAAAGCTAATTGCTTCCTGTTGTGATTTTAGCAAATCTTTTAAGGCTAGATTTTCTTTTTCTTTCTCATGAAGCTGAGTCACAGTTAGGCAGAATTTACTCTTAAGTAGATTGCATTCGTTTTGAAGGTTAGACAGAGCATGAAGGAAGAAGTCTTCATCATGGCACTCAGACATGTATTCAGAAAAGGATTCAGCGCTTACCTGGCTTCCTTCAGGTTCATTTTCCATGTTTGACTCTAACCCCATGTAAGCAACCACTTCTGACTCTTCCTCGGAGCTGTAGTCGCTCCAGGAGGCAGTCATTGCCTTTTCTTTCTTCTTGTTGAGAGGGCAATTGGCTCTTACATGTCCTGTTTTTCCACATTTAAAACAGATGGTTGAATCAGCTTTATTACTCGGATTTTTGTGATCTTTAGGACTTGATTCTGACCTGGTGGATCCAAAGGAATTAATGTCATTTGATCCACCAGAGTTAGGTCCAGAGAGTCTAGCTTGATGGTTATTTCTGTTCCCAGAGGATCCAGGGTAGAATCTATTATTATAGTTGTTCTTTCTAGAGTTTTGATCATGCTTAAATTTCATCATTCTCTGCAGTTTTTTGCTAGTTAATGCTAGTTCATTTTCAAATTCATCATCTAATCTTTCTTCTTGATCTGAGCATACTATATTGAAAGCAATTGACTTATTCTTCTTGTCATGAAGAGAGTTCATTTGCTTCAGAACTTCTTCATGACTTAGAAGAGATCCAATAAGGTTCTCAAGAGACAGTACATTGAGGTCCTTGGCTTCCTCTATGGCAGTTCTTTTAGCCATCCATTCAAGAGGAAGTGACCTGAGTACTTTTCTAACAAGTTCTTTGCTCGAGAATTCCTTGCCTAAACCTTTGAGTCTATTTATTAAAGTGGAGAACCTTTTGTCCATTTCTGAAATTGATTCTCCAGGCAGCATGACAAAGGTTTCATATTCCTTTATTAACAAATCAATTCTAGTTTCTTTAACCTCTGATGTACCTTCATGAGTAGTTTCTAGGATTGACCATATTTCTTTTGCAGATTCACATTTGTTAACTCTTTCCTCTTCATCATCAGAGATGGCAGAAAGTAAAATATGCATGGCCCTAGAATCTAATTGAGCACTTTTCTTCTGTGCATTTGACCATTCCTCCTCATCATCTTCTTTCATGTCAATTGGTCCATTTCGGACAATTGCCCACAATTCACAATCGATTCCTCGGAGGAACAGTCTCATTCTCTTTTTCCAAACAGAGTAATTAGACCCAGAAAACCAGGGAGGATTTGAGCTGTTAGGAAATGAAGTTGAAGTCATAGTGAACAGAGGATCTCCTTCTCAGCAACTTTGAGTTCTCTTGAGAAGGAGGCTCTGATACCAATTGTTAAATCACTATGCACCCCAATTCAATTTCATAGAACACATAGAGATAGAAGAGGAGACGCCTAGGGTTTATTTAATTATTCGAAAACCTAACGATACAGAATCAGACTCAATCAATTGGGAGAAACCAATACAAGAGTTGATTCTGATACTAATCAATTGAGAAGACAAAAAGGAGAATCTGCCATGCCCAGATAGACTGAGTTCCTAGCTACTGCTCCAACTCAGCTATCCAGACACTATACAACCGAACCCAGACCAAAGGCTCCCAGAGAACAGACCTGTTCTAACTAAGCCAGAGGAAACCGTTGCGGATCTTCTTCATGTGATGCTTCTTAAATAGATCTCCTTCCTTCAGTTTGCCTCTTCCTTCATCAATGATGTTACCGTTTGGAGTCTTGAGTTGTTGTCGAACACCGAGACCTGGAAAGTCGAGGGAGCTCCCCTCTTTTGTGTCATCTTCGAAGATGCTGGAGGGATGAAGGTGAGTACGCTCTCTCTTTGGCTTTGACGACATCGTTTGGCTCATGCACTTGAGTGGGCTTACGTGGACTTAATGATGTCATCAGGCCGGGCCCAACAGCCCTCGCTCCAACCAATCACACCCTTTACTCCAACCAATCGACACTACTCATCCCAGCTTGACCCATTATAAGGACGCTATTGTCGCATATAAAAAAGGCCATGACTTCGACCCCAACAGTGAATTCGTGAAGTCCGGTTGCAGATGCCCTGTCCGCCACCGCCGTTGTCGCTTCGTCTTCGAGGTTTAGCTGGCTCTACAGGGCCTTAAACTGTTCTCTGATTCGTTTGTCCGGTCGGAGATGTAGGCCAAGCTCACCACTGATTCATCCACTAGGCCTTACATGCAGTAGTGGGATTTGGTGAAGATGATGTCGAGATCCATATCACTTTTGCTGAAGCTTTCACATTCTTTCTATAAACCGTGCTCTTCATAAGAAAAATCGCGCTCCCAAAAATGTTAGTACACGAATTTCTCGCGATTTTTTGAGAATTCGCAATTGGACGCTCTAGAGTGGAAACGTGGAGTCTATCAAAAAAAAAAAGAGTGGAAACGTGGAGTTCCCTCAACATCAATTTTTAATGGCAATGTTTGCACTCGGTTTTTTCGGCTTACTAACTACAACTCGATCATATCAATTCTATACATCGGACGATACATCCTAGAAGAGCATGTCTCATGATAGGAAGATACACTAGGTTGGTATTGATCACTAGTCTCGGGATTCAATGATTGACTATCATCATTAGCTTATCAAGCAATGTTCACTTAAAAAAAACTAGGCAAGCAACTAACTATCATTCAATAGACTAAGACTCATGCATAACTATTCCTCTATTAAAATATAACAAGGTATATCTAGGGCTGCAAATGATCAGAGTCGAGTCTAGTTTTTGCTTAGCTTTAGCTCGGCTCGTTTATAAAATTTTAAGCTCGAGCACGGCTCAAACTCAAATTTTTATCATCCAGCTAGAGCTCGAGCTCGATTAAAAATAATCCATCTCGAACTTGGCTCGATAGAGTTTGATAAATGCTCATTAACGCAGCTTGTCAAGCTAAGTACAATCTCGGCTCAATATGAGCTCGATTTGAAACCATTCTTGCTAAAAAATTTGTACAAATAAGAACATTAGAAACTAAAAATGATAAAAAGAAGAACTTATTCCATTAGAAAGTCAAAACTATTCAAAAAGTTTCATTTGTGTTCTAAACTATTCAATATGACAAATCTGGCATAAACTATTTTTTCGTTAATGTTACCGGCGTAGATTGTTAGTATTTATCAGAAAATTTAGTCAGCATCTATGTGGTTTGTGCCAGATTTGTCATATTAAATAAGTTTGGGACACAAATGTCACGAAAGGCTTATAGTTTGTGCCAAATTTGTCATATTGAATAGCTTAATATACATATGACAATTTTAGAATAGTTTGGGTTTTCTAGTGGAAATAGCCCTAAAAAGAACACTAGAAACTAAAAATAACATCTAACTTCCATACACATCCTTATTAACAAGATAATTTTCATGTTCAGAAGAGTAATTAATCATTTCACAAGCTCTAAACAAGCTAGCTCACGAGCTTAGCTTAACAAGCCACCGAGTCAAGCTAGCTCACTAGCTTATCAAGCTCAGGTTGGTCTAGCTTAAGCTTGGCTCTTTTACTAACGAGTCGGCTCACGAGCTGGCTTGTTAAACCATGAGTCGAGTGTTGAACGATTTTTTTCCGATTCGAACGTCGAGTTGCTCGCGAGCAGCTTGACTCATTTGCAGCCCTAGGTATATCTGATTAGATTTAGCTAGAATTTGAAGTTTTGCCACGAAAACTAAATTAATTATTATTCACAGAATGACAATCATTTTGATATATCTTGGACAAAAAAATTATTTGTGCCACTTTTTATATAAAAAATACTATGGTTTGTAGTGTTTGATGGTAAAAAACTACCATGGTGGGATGAAAGTGTACCATAGTGGTATACAATGTTGTAAAAATATGTCTTAGAATGCAAAAAATCACATTTTTATATTTTAGACTAGGAAAAATGCTATAGTATTTATATAAAAAATTACTGTGTGCAAAAACGGTAAAAAAGCATTCGAAAACGGTAAAAACACTCAAAAAGGTCAAAAACGAGTTTCTGATCCATTTTTTATGTTTCTAGTCGAAGAAGTTTCAACCAATCTCACATAATCTATGTCCTCTATTGTCTTGCAAAAAACCAGTAATACAAAAATTGATCCCTACAATCAAAGTGACCCACAACTAACCTTGAACATTTCCTCAAAGTTTGAAGACGATCCAACGATTTGTTTCTCCGGAATCCTCCCATGAACCAACAGCTCAGCTATAGAAAAATAAGATCGCACCATGTCTGACCAACAACATTTCTCAATGAACCAAAGATCATAACGACGATCCCAACGCTTGAATAGGATCTTAGAAAGTATGAAATGCATCCTAAAATTTGAGGACGATCCAACAACGGGTTATTTTGGAATCCCCTCTTGAACTTACTACCTTGCTGCAAAACGTAAATTCTACAGCTCCTCTATTCCTCTCATCCTTTCCTTCTTCTTTCCTCCTCAATTCCCCAGCTCTAATTCCCTTAAACTTATGGTTCCTTCAAGGTTTTTTATTGGTGGTGATGAGGGTGTGACGAGTGGGAGAGGAAAGAAAGGGTCAAAAAGGCGGAGGGAAAGGAGACGAATGAGGGTGTAGATTTTTTTACTTTCATTCTCTAGAAATCTCTTCCCATTTTTCTTCTTTCCCAATCATAAAAATCCAAATGGCCTAACCAAAGTCCGTTAAGTGCTTATGTGGAGGACAAAATCGTCTAATCAACCCTATTTAACCCAAAAATTGAGAAACCCGACCTGCCACGTCATTAAAATTTGCCATGCCATCTTGCCCAGCCCAAACCTTGAATCTACCCGACCCATGAACCAACATACCCACACAAAATAAGATCTATCTCATTTTTCTTTCTAGATATAAAAACCATCTTCTCTAGAGTTCTTCATTTTTCTTGTCCTTCCTTCGTTAACCTGCTCCAAATGGTGTCTCGCCTCGTCGACGCCAAATGATGGGATGGTGGAAAGGGAGGCATGATGGTGGAAACTGTCGATGTGCGGCAGAGGCCCAGAAGTGGAAGCTAATGCTCGATAGCTTTTTAGGGATGAAGGAGAGGGAATCTAAAAAGAATGAGCAAAAATCAAGAGGTGAAATCGTGTCCTTCTTCTCCTTCAAAGATATGCAGAATCAAATCACAGAAGAGTTGACTGAATAAATCTCTTCCTCCATCTTTCTTTCTCTCTTTCTTGGGGTCGGATGCTTGTTCAGTCTGGTTCGTCTGTTTCCCTTCCTCTCCTCCTCCTCTATCTGCTACCTTGGGTCGTCCTATTTTAGCAGAAAATAGAGATGATGGGAAGGGTTTGTTCTTCTTATGTTGGGTGCCAATCACATCGCACAACCCCCTTTGTTATTGTCGTTGTCGCTCTTCCCTTTCTTCTTCACATCCCAGATCTATTATTTTTGGCTCCACCAGCGAAATGGACGAATCTCTGATAGACACCTCAAGAAGAGGGAGGTACGGCAGCCGAATAGGGAGAAAGAGAGAGCTCGACGGAGAAAGTTGAGGCGTGGCCGAAAAGGCGGTCACCGTGAAACTCCTATCCAGAAATCAGAGAGGGGTTGAGAGAAGAAGATGGGGAGATGGGAATCAGTTGGGTTGAGTTGGGTTTGTTTTATTTTTTTATTATCTATTTTAAATGTTTAATAATAATATGATGTGGCGGGTTTAATGACATGGCGGGTCAGATATTATGATGTGGCTAGTTAAAATTGGGTGAATCAGCAATTCTGTTAACCATGTCAGCAAATAATTGACAGTGTTAAAAGAGACGGACGGAGACTATTGGAGAGTGACCAAACTTGGATTGTTTTATTAAATTTGGTGACCGCGAATGGAATTAAATATTTTTAGTGACCAAACATGAACGTTTTTTGTAATCTCAGTGACAAAACATGCAATTAACCCGCATGAGTAGTGACCTTTTTAAATGAGACAACTAGTTTGTTGAATATTAATCAGATTATATACAAAAACTTCCGCTTTTACGTTTTACATTTTTACTTATGTTTCTGCTTGCGCATTTGACTACATTGGTGGTATGAATATACCATATCATTGAGTGATTGTATACATGATGGTATAAATGTATTGATCACCATCTACCACTACGATAAAGAGTGGTATAATTGGTCAAACAAATTATCATGGAATAAGTTGAGAATGGACATAATTTTGTATATCACAAAGAATAAGTTTCTTTTGTGCAAAAACGTTTATACTTTGAGTTAAATCAAAGAGGTCAAAGGTGGTAAAGAATTGCATAGAGTGGTAGAGGGTGACAATGAGTGGTCCAAAAATTTAATTCCTCGAATATAGGAAAAGTGTATATCATTTTCTAAATCACAATGAAAATGTTTCTTCTTTACAAAAAATTTCTAATTCTAAATAAAAACGAAAGATACACAAATCAATTAAAAATATAAAAAAAATCAAAACAATTAATTTTGAACTAAGAACAAATGAAAATGCATAATCAATGAATACATAGCCAACCCCAACCACATTAACCACATACTACATCTTGATGGTAGGACTGGAAAACGGTGTGGTCCGGTCTAGACCAAGCCATACATGGTCTATGGTCCAGACCATATAAATAATCTGTGGTCCAAACCGAAATGTTAGAATAGAGACCGTGTACGAGACCATATACTATACGGTCTAGATCAGCCAGACCATTCTAAAAAAAATATGGATTGTCCATTACAAAATACTAGTTATTAACTAAAAAAAGACACATTGACATCTCATCGTCACTAACAACAAAATTCAATGGACACAATCGACACACGCAGGGCAGGAGAATGATAAAGAGGGTTCACGGCAATCGAATCAAACAATGCAAATTCCAGTTAAAACCAGGAAAGTGCAATCCAGTTGGATTGGTTTGACTGGAGGGAATAGAAAATGCGATTTTAGTTGGCCTCCTTCCAGCAACCTCCGGCACGGTGTTGGACGTCGCGAAGTTATATATCGATGGTGATGGAGCTGCTGGCTCAGGTCTAGTAGTTACTGTATGGGATATGAGGGTTAGTTGGATTGTTGGACATGAGGCGAGCTAGGCTTTTAGTTCTTTGCAATTAGGAGAGACGGCAAGGTAATGAGTTGAGAATTGATAGACGAAGTGAGTTGGCCATTGGGAGTTGGGGTACTGCCGCTAGCCCGCAGTAGCCATTAGGGGTACGATTTGGACGGTTAATTGCGGTATAAATCATACTATACCGTCCTAAACCGTCAATTAAAGAGACAAATCATGGACCAAATCAAATTGTATTTCTGGTCTCACGGTCTGGATCAAATCGTACGGTATGATCTACACCGCGGTTTGTCATACGGTTTGATCCAGATTCCCAGCCCTACTTGGTGGTTAGGACTTGAGGCTTAAAACTCGAGATACCCACCTATGCAAGTTTCTCTATCAGCGATTAGGATTTGACTTCTATGGGCCGCAAGAAAAGCCCAACTACTTCAACCATCAAACCGAACTCTATTCAAAAACAAAAACTTAAATGGACATTCATCAGGGGGGGAAACTTCAATGGACTTATTTGAGGCTTGGTGGGTGGGTCGGCAATTTGAACCCGCCCGTCGGGTAATATCCGACCTGACCCGTGATGGGGCGGGTATTATCCGATCCGTATTAGCGTAGGGTGGGGCATGGGTATCAACTTCCGACCCGCCCTGTCCTGTCCCGTCTCATTCTTACCCAGTTCTATGTCAATTTTTTACCCCATCCATTCATATATCTCCTATTTTGGTTTTTATTCAACTAGTTAGATTTGATCTTTCAACTAAATAGCCTCAATTACTTATTATATTATCACTATTATTCATTCATCAAGTATTTTCTCCTTCGTTTTATCATAAAAAGGTAATATTGTGCATGTATTATTCTCAAATAGCATGTAAGAGTGGGTCCACCCACTCTGCCCTGTACCCGCGCGGGTTTACCGCCCTGACCCGTACTAGCGTGGGGCGGGGCATGGATATTGAGGTACCCGCCCCGCCCCGACCCATTGCCATCACTAAATTCATGGATGCATAATGAAAGATTGATCATATGCAACCGCAGTTAAATGTGACAGCAAATTCTGGAAAGGGTTTTAATTTTTCAATACGAAATATAATATTATTAACTTTTGGGTTATAGGTATAATATGCCCCTCTACTATGGCGTTTATCAAACATGCCCCTCTACTATTTTTTACATCAAACATGCCCCTATACTTTGTAAAAATGATCAAACATGCCTTTTGTTAAAATTTTCATCCAAAAACCGTTAACCAAGGCCGAACTTTAGTTTGGGCGACACAAATGACTAAAATATCCCTAATAAATTCACTTTAGAATTTTTTGGTTCTTTTGTATAATCAAATCATTCAAATAATTTCACTTAGAAAAGACCCAGGAAAATAAAACAGAGGACAAAACTGACATTTTTCCTCCAATTTGTCGATGTCGGGTCGTCTAAATCTCGATTCAACCATAATTGGTGATTTTTTCAATGGAAATTTTAACATAAGCCCATGTTTGATACTTTTTTCAAAGTAGAGGGGCATATTTGATATAAAAAATATTAAAGGGACATGTTTGATAAAACGTCATAATAAAGGGGCATATTATACCTGTAAACCTTAACTTTTTCAGTACGATATAATTTTAGAATATATATATACAACTGGAACAATAAACCAATTCTGTCTGCAGAAATACCCTCAATAAACCAAATCCGTCTGCCTTTCTCTTCCATTATAGTTGCACCCAATTATTAAACAATAAACATACCTATATATGCCATCATTAGCAACCCACTTCCATATATCCTGTCTACATGAAATTGCCCACGTTTTTCTATATATATTCTACTTAGCCAATTACGTGGAACCTCCGATTCTGTGGTGTGGGACATTCCAGCATTTTATTTGGAAGAAAAGCTCCACTTGTCCATTCCTTATAGACAAGAAGAAGCAAAACTCTCCCTTTCAAATGGCACCCGATCGAAGAGCAAATAAATAGGAAACATAGAATTCCCCCCTTTGAAAATTCCTCATCTCCTTTTAACTATTTTGATAGACCAGAAAGAAAAGGTTTGCATGTAATGTTAGCAGATGAGATAAGTGTTGGACTCGATTGACACCGACTTCCCAACCCTGCCCTTTTCCTTTTTCAGCCAAAAATACTCCAATTTTCACCAAAACGTTAATTGGTAATGATGTCAATAGATCCATTTTTCTTAATCACTCTTTACCCCACCCCCAGATTGAGTCAATTTTCTTATAAGTCATAAGTTCGATACACTAACCAGAACTTTTTCTAGAAATAACATTGTTTATAGAAAATCCAAAAAATAACACTCAGTCCCAATCGAAGAGGAAATAAATAGAAATCATAGAATTTCCCCTTTCAAAATTCCTCATCTCCTTTTAACTCTTTTGATAGACCAGAAAGAAAAGGTTGGCACGTAATGTTAGCAGATGAGATAAGTGTTGGACTCGATTGACACCGACTTCCCAACCCTGCCCTTTTCCTTTTTCAGCCAAAAATATTCCAATTTTCTCCAAAACGTTATTTGGTAATGATGTCAATAGATTCATTTTTCTTAATCACTCTTTAACAACACCCCCCCCCCCCCCCCCCCCCCCCCCAAATTGAGTCAATTTTCTTGCAAGGCATAAGTTCGTACGGTAATCATAATGCAAGTTTGGTTTTTCATTTTATGTGTTGGACTTGTTTTTTTGTTAATTTGTTTTGAGCAAAGTTCATTGTTCATTTACCGCATACTCTTTTGTATTTTTCAAATATTATTCGCATTAAACTTATTGACTTGTAATTTGAACAAATCGTACTTCTTTTGAGATATAAAATTATGGGATATGATATTATAATAACACTATAAATGTTGTTATGGTGCTCTGTGCTCTCACTAGGGCTGGAAGTTTGGTACATGTATTTGAGATATACAGAATACCGTACCAAAGTTGTCAATATTTGGTATTATCGAATACACATTATTTCATGGGTTTGAAATTAAATTTGAAGTGTTAATAGGAATTACGGAATTGGGATCGGTATATACTAATATACCGACCGAAGAATACCAAAATATAAGCTAGTGTGTATTGTATTCCTCCCAACAAGACTCCTCACTAATTGCTGTTAGACCCTCAACTCATATCAAATGACAATTTAGTTATACATAGCTCATTCCCTACT